CCCGCCTCGTCGCTGAGCAGAAAGCTCGCGAGCGCGGCCGAATCGTCTGCCTCGCCGACTCTGCCGAGCGGGTGGGACTTGGCGAGGGTGTTGCGCATGCTTTCCTTCCCCAGCATCGGCGCCGCCATCGCCGAGTGCGAGATCGAGGGCGCTATAGCGTTGACCCTAACGGAGGGAGCAAATTCGGCAGCAAGCGCGCGAGTCATCCCTTCGATGGCGCCTTTGGCGCTCGAGATGATGGCGTGGTTGGTGAAGCCCTGCTGCACGGCCACGCTGGAAAAGAGAACGACAGAGCCACCATTCTTTTTCAGCGGGGCCTCGACGCTCCTCAGCGCGGCAGCCGCGCCAACCACGTGCAACTCAAAGCATGCCCTGAAGTCGGCTGGCTCGGCGCGCTTGAACGGCTTGAGAGCGATGTCGCCGGCGCAGTAGGCGAAGCCTTTGAGGTCAGCCGGCAGGTCGGGCGCAAGTGCGTCGCCCATTTGCTCGGCCTGGCGAGCGTCGGCGACAGTAAACGGAGCACCATTGAGCGTCTGCGAGAGCGATTGCAGCGCGTCGGCATTCCGCCCAATGAGCCACGGCGTGCCACCGCGGGCGAGGACGCGACGTGCTATCGAGCTCCCGATGGCACCGGTGGCGCCGACGATTGCAACCGACATGTCGGGAGTGGCGGCCACGAGGGAAGTGGTGTCCTGGCCGCCCTCTTACCGCCCTGTGAGCGGGGCCCGGGGTTGTGCGTTTATGAGCCAGCCACTTCGAGGACAGGCTGTCCTGGAAAGTTCTGAGCCTAAAAGAATTCTTAAATCGCTCACAGCACACTGGCACGACAAGGGCGCGGACTGGCGCGGAGCCTAAAAGAATTTCAGCAGAAAACCATTAATATTAACCTTTTTGTTTTTTGTTAACCGCGACCCCACAAGAAAACCACACCTCCCTCGGCTACTCCACCTACCCCTCCTACTGACGTACGCATTCGGCCGTCGAGCGTCGTTCACACACGCGATGAGTGCCGATGAGATGCGCGAGAGGCGTCACGTCGACGCGCGAGGCGTCACAAGAAGAGCGGCGCCTCCGGCCCTCTCTGGATCTCTGCGTGCGGGATGTGCGCGACGAGCTCGACCGCCTCGCGGCTCGCGCGCGAGAGGCCCTCGAGCAGCGACGCGTACTCGCGGCAGCCCCAAAAGTGGTCGGGCGGCGGCGGCGGCTGGCCGGCGCCGTGGCGGTCGGCGAAGCGCGCCACGAACTTGAGGACGAGCCCCTGCAGCTGCGTGTCCCGCCGCAGGCGGAAGAGGTTGGCGCCTTTCGTGGCGGAGCAGGAGAGGAAGAGGGCGGAGCTGCACGCTTCGCCCAAGCAGAGCATGTGCAGGTAGAGCTGAGGCACGTGCCACACCGCCACGCCGTCGAACGGGCCCGGGTCCCGCACCTCGAAGCAGGGCTGCGGCGCGCGGCACGTCGCAAACGGCGCGTGGTTCTTGGCCTCGAAGGGCTCGACGGAGCCGTCGGGCCAGCGCACGATTGCGTCCGGGCTCGCTCCGATGGGAGGGAGGCCGGGCGGCAGGGCCGCCAGCACGCTCTCGGGCAGCGCCTCGAGCGGCTGCAGCCCCGCCTCCTCCACGGTGGCGTTGCGCGCCCAGAGGTAGTTTGCCGCGGCGAGAACGGACGTCGCCTCCTGCGCATTGCCCCACGCCATCCGGACCTGGCCGACG